GCCGCAGCACCGATAAGGTGCCGAAAACACTGTCAGGCCTTTCAGATAAGAAAGATTCAGGGCAAGGGAGAGTACCAGCTAGAGAGCACTAACACTTGTCAGGGTTGTAGCAAGGATGATAAGCCAGGCGCGGGAGGCCGGTGAGGGAGTGCCGGCACTGTCCGTCCACACCGAAAGTAAGAGAGAGGCTGAAAGTCATCCTCTGCCCAGGTAGCTGAAGCTCTGCCCTGACACCCGCCCCGGTGTTTGGTACCCATGTCCCTGCACCCCCACGTTAACACCTCCTGGGCACACACTAATGCGGTTTCGAGGCGCTCTTGCTGCTGCCACAGTCATGCCTAAATGGACTCAATATTTCCATTTCTTTCTGCAATGGAGGGTCAGAAAAAGAACCACAAGCATTATCTTACTGTATGATCACTCAGTCACTCCCCGTCCTTACCTGTCACCAAGACACTATCAGCTGAAGTGAAACCTGCATTATTTTCCTTCACAAGAAAAATATTTTATACCTAGCAGACATAATAAATGATACAACTTGTGGGAGTAAGTTACACGTGTCAGCCCCTACCTCCAGCCTGTCTGTCCTCATCAGCTTTTGGGCAGCGGCGGCGGCAGCGGCAGGAACTGGGACACCGGGGTTCCCTGTCACCAGCATCGGGGCGGTGGGCAGGATCTCTGCTGGGACCAGGCCTGGGGAGACGGGCCCCAGGTAGGGGTTGAAGGCGGCCGATGCGTTGGTGGCTAAGCTCGGTGCAACGGAAAACATCGGCTGCAATCAGAGAAAAGAAGAAGACAGACACTTTAAATATTTATACTTGCCGTGCTGTCAGCATAATAACTTTTTGGCTATCATCTTGAGTGCAGTGGCGGTGAGATTCTGTTACCGATGGGAAGGAAGCATTTGTCGTGTTCGTGGGACACGAAGAACACTCGTGCAAATGTTGCACACAAGCGAGCCCATGAGGACAGGCACCCCCGGCCAGCCTCTGCTGGTTCTCCTGCTCAAGCTGCTTCTCCTGCACGGGGCAGCTCTGGAGCAGACTCTTGTTCGACCCGCACTTGAGCAACGCCATCACAACCCAGCACTCCTCATGGCCACGGGAGGAAGCCTGGGGGTCTCGAAGGGATGTGTCCAGAATGGGTACAAACATCTGCTCTTGGGGAAACAGGCGTCTGGGCCAGAGCCCCGACACACCATCAACCCACACTCAGCTCCAGACCCAGATAAATACATTTCTGACCCTGATGACAGCCAGTACTGGTTCAGAAATTACAGAGGTTTAATACAGGAACAAGACCAGATGACCATAATCATTCATTTTTACGCAATTAAACAGGCTGTCCACGCAGATATTCAGAAAGAAATACACTGCAACAGGGATATGCTTTATTTAGACTAAAACATTAAGCCAGAGAGAGAGAGAGAGAGAGAAAGAAAGTGTACAAATACTGGGAGTTTTGTTTGTTTGTTTGCTTTAAAAAAAGAAACAGTCAGATGCCCTTGTAGGCTATCACATGTTGTGAAGATAATTGGATGTAGAAGACCAAATAATGCTGTAAGACCAAATGCAGAGCTGCTACGCTGCGGTAAAGATTAAATAACTCTTCTGCCCCACCGAATGCAAAGACACTGTGCTACCAGTGTAATTGCCAAATAAAATTTAGTCTGGAGTGTTTATCTTTAGTATCTAAATAAAGTAGTTACTCAAGACATTTATATTTTTCTTCCAAACTAATTCTTAGAGGGAAAAACAACTACAGAGCTAACACAACTCGTTTTCTCTGTTTCCTATCTATTAAAGCCAGACAGCATCTAACACCACTTGTTTTTGTATTCCTGAGGAAATGACTGAACTGTTTGGAAGCAAGGAACAAGTCCATTTGAAACACTGGACAAAAACACATGCAGAGATTACTGAAGAAAAAAGAAGTGTAAATGGGAATAATTTCTTTAGCGTCTCTGGCTCTTCATCCATGTGAATGAAAAACAAACAGGCAAATTTTACAGGAACTAAAATATTACGCTTAAATACACTATTAATTAACTGCACTCTTCATTACTGTGTTATCAGCTATGTAATAATGAACATTAAAAATAAAATCATGAACCAGTCTGGTAGTGTGTAGCTTAAGAGATATCAATGTTTGATTTCAGCCCAATATACTTACTGTACAGTAAATAAATTTATTTTATATTTTACATTTTTATTTTACATTTTACATTTATTTTCTACTGAGGTAATTTTATACTAATAAAAATAACCTGTGGCCTTTACGCCACTGCAAAATAATAGCATATTTTATCAGACCGCTTCCTGTCATTCTGAACCTGGCAGGTGTTTTGCAATGTGCTGTACCCATGTAAATTAGGAGATAACCACCCATCCTGCAGTCGTATCAGCCCAGACTCGGAGCCAGGCTGCTGGCAGGAGCACCCCACGAAGGGGTGAAACCCGGGCAGCACAGGAGCACTGCTGGGCAGCAGAGGAGTCTGCCAGGGCACGAAGCTGCCCCAACACTCCTGCACCCAGGAGAAATTTCTGGCGGTACGGTGGCCCCGGAGAACACGCGGCGCAGGCTGGATCTCCCCAGGGACCGTCCCCAGGCTTGGGTGGCCGTGGGACGGGAAGGAGCGGGTCGCCCCACGCAGAGCCCGGCCAGCTGTGAGCATCAGCCGAGGGTCAGCCTGGGCTCCCCATCCTGTAACTGCAAACTGGTCAGAACTGGGACCTCGGTGCCACGTGGGAGAGGAGAGACATGGGGGAGCTCCAGGTCAGTCCGAGCCGCTGGGCTCATCTCTGCTGAATGCTGCTCACTTGTTTTCCAGCGAGCTTTCACCTCCCCTTCTCTAGAAGCAGAGGTAATATTTCTCTATCACCACGACCAAACCATACAACTGCTTACTGGCCTTGCAGTTACGGCCCTACTATGCTGTCCATCGTGCAAAACAGCTAAAAAAGGAAAAAAGCTCCTGTAGATCAGCAGAGAACAGAGGTGAAGGAGGACACAGCCTTGGATGCAGCTCTGTGCTGCCAGATGCCCCATAATCCACATCATCTCCTCTACTGAATAATTCTGCTCTAAAAACGCCTGTGCACAACGAACATGAACCTCACCAGCAGGTCTGACCTCCCTGGCTCTGCCTTTCAAAGGCACTGCTCGCTAACAGGCTCTATCGATTGGGCAGGAGACATGGGGGCACCTTTGGAATCGGCCTCTGCAGCGCAGCGGAGCCACAGACAGACAGACGGGTTTTCTGCCAGCCCCCAGCTCGCCGGCCCCGAAGGACCAGCTGCCCGCAGGGAAGGAGCTGGACTCGTTTAATGCATCTTTAACAGTCATCTACCAAGCACCCGCCACGCCAAGGAAAGCACAAGAGCATCCCATGTATACAGAAACGCTGACAACCTACAGCTCCTTCCTAATTGCAAACACACCCGCAGGAAGGTCTGGGACCTCGCTCTGCTCCAGGCTCACACCTGCAGCGTGCAGATCGCCCGGCGCTCTGCAGAAAGGCATGCCTGGCTGACAGCAGAGCGAGCAGCCCCGGGGCTCCCCGTGCCCCCCGTGTCCCCAGAGGTGAGGGACGGCCCCAGAGCCTCCAGCCACCTTCACAGCCCATCGCCGCTCTTCTGGTCTCACGTCTGCATCTTCCTGCTTCTATTTAACATTTTTCCCACCAAACACACTCTTCCACACTGGCAAAGGCCAATCCAGGGTCTGACATTGCCGCTGCAAAGCAGCACAGTATCCCCTCCGACGCACTCGTACCAAAGCCATAGTCCAGCTGAGCCCAGCTCCCCCTAAACCAGTTCACAAGCGAGGAGGGCAGGACCGATCCGGGCAGGCAGAGCTCTTCTCGGGATCCCGGTGCTTGCAGTCAGCAGGACACGCGATCCCCCCTCACCCTCTGAAATCCCTTCCCTCAACTGCCAGACAAAGGCAGATACGAGAGTGAACTAAGAAAGAAAGATGAGGAAAATCCACAGACATTACTTGCAACTAAGATAATTAAAACATTGATCAAACAGAAATATGAGTGAAGGGATCCTATGCTTTGCTTACCAAATTAGAGTCTCTCATTAAGTTAGTTCACTTTTATTAAAGCATATGGTATTGATTTTTGTAAAACAAAACAAACTGACTGAAGCATCGTTAGACAGGATGACATAAATCACCTCCTATGACACCCCGAAATAACATGTTTCAACTGTACTAAAAAATAAAGTAATTTTAAGGCCAAATTAGTAGGATGACATCCATGTCGAAACACTGTTGCTGGGATGGGCAATGGGCCTTGCCGTGAATCCTCGTATGGAATGAGACTAAATTCTGAAAATACGGAGTCTGTAATGTCTGAGCTCAAGTGATGTACACAGAAATTACACAGGCACGGGTGGAAGGTTTCTTCAAAATACACTGACTCAAATTTTGCTTGTTAGGACAGCGTGAGTGTAGTATAAAGGAGAATTTAAATACGATTTAAATGTTATCCTTGCACTAGCCTCTCTTTATATTAAAAAGGAGCGCTAATCCAAAGAACTGCATTCAGGTTTTTTTCATGTTTATCCAACTGCTGGTGTGCGCCTACACACTGCTTTGTACAAACCCTTGGTTACAATTCATCAAACAAACAGGTTAATAGAGAAGAACGTTGTAAGCAATGGTTCTTACTGTTGGCTGCATTTTGACTGAAGCTTTCTCACCGTCCCAAATATGAATTTGCTGGCACTAAGGCTGTATCTCTGTACTCAGATCAGGAAACAAAAATGAAATTGTGGCACGTGCATACGTCTGTTTTGAGCTGTTCAAACTGAGAAATCATTCTGAGGGTGCTCTGGAGTTACAGCACATCAAGTACAGCCTGAGCTCTCTAGCTGCACGGACACTTAATTTTGGTTCCAGAAGCCACCAGCAGTGGGGTCCAGCCCCACCTCTGCTGCACGGTGCAGTGCCATGGCATCCCCTGAAGCGCTGCGGTGCCACCGCACTCGGTGTCTGCGCTGACGCTGCCTCACCTCATCCCCTTGCCTAGGTGATACAGACAGTTTTATTTAAAGGAAAGCCAATCACAAGAGAGAAAATAAAATGTCCTATCTTCTCATGCTGTGCTAACGGGTACTAAAGTCAATTTACTGTGACAATCCTACCACAACATTTTCCGCTTTTCTCCCCCACATACACTTTTTCTTGCAGCAGCTGAGGCATAAAGCTCTGTGGGAGAATAACAGTTATATTAACTGAATCAAATACACCACACAATATTCACTGATGTTCTGCAGACCCAGAAAACGTGGGGCCAAATAAGCATTCGGCACAAGTCTGAGAGTCCTTTCTGCTGAGATGGTTTTTCCTAAGGATTTAGCTACATTTTGAGGAGTATTTATTGTCACTATGTTTTTTGAAATAAAAGAATTGAAGAATTCATCTAACAGAGTGTATATAGGTTTCCTGATGAAAGCTATCTAGAGGTAAATTCAACTCCCTAAATTCTACCTTTGCCAGCAAGAAAGGAAGAAAAGAATTGTCAGAGAAGCGCTAATGTAGATATATTTATTTTATATATATTTTTCAACTGATTTTTTCCTTTACTGCCATTTTACCCTTTGAAAGAGAGACCTTCAGCCAGGGGAGCATTGTTTGCTTTTTATGTAGAGTATACCAGCTGTGCTCATACATTAATCAGCACCAGTCTCGCTCATACATTAATCAGTACCCTCTAACGTCTGAGCTAGAAATTTGTATTAAAAAGGTTCTGGGCCAAATTTAGCGGTAGGTCAGCTCAGATGACCTCTCCGGATTGCACTGGAGAGCACGGGGTGTTCAGCTCCCAAACGCGGAGGCACACGCGGGCTGATGCCAATCATCCCCACATTTGCTGAAATGAGGGATTACTGCAGAGCAAGAAACCGAGCCGCGGCATTCGACCGTGTGGAACGCTGCGCTGCGCTTACGTACTGAGGTATACGAGAAACAGGTCTGATGTCACGTACGATCACATTTTACTGTGACCAGATGAGAGATTTCTGACAGATTCTCCTTCCCCACCCCTTGGCTTTTTGCAGGAAGTATGATTATCTGTACTTCTCCTTCTTCCTGCT